GTCACCTGTACCAGCCGCACACCTGTACCTGCACACACCTCTGTGTGTGCGTGTGTGTGTGCACGTGTCACCTGTACCAGCCGCACACCTGTACCCGCACACACCTCTGTGTGTGTGTGTGCGTGTGTCACCTGTACCAGCCGCACACCTGTACCTGCGCTCAGGTGCGCTCACCCACAGCCGCGCGCACGCTGCAGCTTCAGGACTACAACTCCCGGCGTGCCCCTCGCGGGAGGGCGGGGACAGGCCGCGCGGCTGCCCAATAGGAGAAGGGGCGTGTTGTCTCCAGCCAATGGGCAGCGGAGGGGGCGCGCCGGCCCCGCCCCGCGGGCGCGCCGCGCGGTCACGTGGCGCGGGCGCGGCCGGTGAGCGCGCCGGGACCGGGGGCAGCGGCGGGGCTCGGGCGGGACCGGGGGGCGCGGGGAGCCCCGGGACCCCCGGGACCCGCTCTGCCCGCCCCGCTGCTTCCCCAGGTTGGCGTCGCCGCCTTCCGCCGTTTTCCCGGGGTTTTGCCTCAAAACGCGGGAGGATTTGGGGGCGGCGGGCCCGGAACGGCGGGGGGCACGGACGGACGGACGGACGGACGGGCGGACGGAGCAGCTCCGGGCCGCTCCCGTGCCCGACGGGCGGCCCCAACCCACCCCGAGTGCGCCGCGATGTCAGGAGAGCGGCGGCGATTTGGGGTCGCAGCCTCGCCCCGTTTTTCCCCCTCCAGGTCCCGTCCCAGGGGCAGCGATTCCCCCCATGGAGAAGGACCGGGAGCCGCGAGGAGACCCCCGGGACCCCTCCGGCCCCGCCGTGAGTGCGCCCCGCTGCTTTTCGGGGCTGCTGGGCGCCCCAGAACTCCGGGGAGGGAGGGAGGAGCGCCTTGGCCGCCGGTGGAAGTGAGGATGAGGCAGAGAAACGGGAAAATCCCAGCTCTGGGTGGGGGGCGAGGGGGGGGATGGACCAAAATTGGCATTTTTGGGGCGAGAAGTGAGCGGTCCCGTGGCAATAGGATCGTTTTTGTAATTATTTTTTATCCTCGTGAGGAAAAGGGGTTTGGATTTTTGGAGCTTTTCCCTCCCCCCCCCCNCACGGAGATCTATAAAAATTTCACAGGAAGAGGCAGACTTCTTGATAGTTTATTTTTAAAACTAAAGGTTAAAAGAAACCAAAAAAAAATTGTTTTTACAGATAGATTTTGCAGCCATCACTTTTTCAGATAAGCCCTTTAGATCATACATAGAGGCTTAATCAGTTTGCCTGTTGGTAGGAATAACCATGGGAAGAGAACAAAAAAAAAAAGAAAAAAAAAAAGAAAAACCCAAAACTAAAAAAAAAAAAAAAAAAAAAAACAGAGAAAGCTTTGAACTCTTTCAGCCGTAAAAAGCCGCAGGTTGTCACATGCCGTTAAATGAATAGAAAGAACAAAAAAAAAAAGAAAAAAAGAATAAAAAAAGAAAGACTAAAAAAAAATAGAAAAGGACGGACTTGGGAGCCGAGCAGCTTCTTTGCCCAAAAATAGCAACAAGTTTTATAACTCCGGAAAATGTAGAACAAACAAACGAGGAACATTTTTAGCTGAGGAAGGCGGCGGCGGCGCGGGGGGGCTGAATTTCGGAATTTCTGCCCGTCTGTTTTCCTGGAAGCCGCTCCTCGTGTGCTCGCCCGCATCCAGCGCTTTGACCAACTTGGCCACCGGCCCGGGGCTGCGGGAACGGCACCGGGGCTGGAACGGCACCGGGGCTGCGGGAACGGGACTGGAGCTCCCCGGGGAACGGCACCGGGGCTGCCCCGGGGAACGGCACCGGGGCTGCCCCGGGGAACGGGACCGGAGCTCCCCCGGGGGAACGGGACCGGAGCTCCCCCGGGGAACGGGACCGGAGCTCCCCCGGGGCTGCGGGAACGGGACCGGAGCTCCCCCGGGGAACGGGACCGGAGCTCCCCGGGGCTGCGGGAACGGGACCGGAGCTCCCCCGGGCTGCGGGAACGGGACTGGAGCTCCCCCGGGGGAACGGGACCGGGGGGTGCGGGTGGAGGGGTCGCAGCTCCCCCGAAACTCAGCCCCACGTCCCGCAGGACGCGCCGGGGCCCGGGGATGGTGCCGAGAGGGCCAAGGCGGCGGGAGAAGGTGGGGACAAGGAGGACAAGGAGGACAAGGAGGACAAGGAGGACAAGGAGGACAAGGAGGACAAGGAGGACAAGGAGGACAAGGAGGACAAGGAGAAGGAGGAGGAGGAGGCTTTCCTCGTCAGCCTCTACAAGTTCATGAAGGAGCGGCGCACGCCCATCGAGAGGATCCCGCACCTCGGCTTCAAGCAGAGTGAGTCCCAGCCCGGGGACCGGGACACGGGGTGGCCGCGCCCAGCTCCCGCGGCTCCTCACCCTCGGCATCTCCCCTCATCTGTTCCCAGTTAACCTCTGGAAGATCTACAAGGCCGTGGAAAAGCTGGGAGCCTACGAGCTGGTGAGTGCCGGGGTGGCCCTTGGGCGCCAGGGTGTCCCCTGGGTGCCAGGCTGTCTCCTCGAGTGTCACGGTGTCCCCTGGGCATCAGGGCTAGACACGAGTGTGACCCTGAGGTTCCAGGCTGTCCCCTGGGTGCCAGGCTGTCCCCTGGGGTGCTGGTACGTCCCCTGGGTGCCAGGGTGTCCCCGGGGTACCAGTCTGTCCCCGGGGTGCCAGTCTGTCTCCTGGGTGCCAGGCTGTCCCCTGGTGTGCCCGGATGTCCCCTGGGTTCCAGGCTGTCCCCGGGGTGCCAGGCTGTCCCCGGGGTGCCAGGCTGTCCCCAGGTTCCAGGCTGTCCCCAGGTTCCAGGCTGTCTCCTGGGTGCCAGGCTGTCCCCTGGGTTCCAGGCTGTCCCCGGGGTGCCAGGCTGTCCCCAGGTTCCAGGCTGTCCCCAGGTTCCAGGCTGTCCCCCGGGTGCCAGTCTGTCCCCTGGGTGCCAGGCTGTCCCCTGGGGTGCTGGTACGTCCCCTGGGTGCCAGGCTGTCCCCGGGGTGCCAGTCTGTCCCCCGGGTTCCAGGCTGTCCCCAGGTTCCAGGCTGTCCCCTGGGTGCCAGGCTGTCCCCTGGGATGCCAGGCTGTCCCCTGGGTGCCAGGCTGTCCCCTGGGGTGCCAGTCTGTCCCCTGGGTGCCAGGCTGTCCCCCGGGTTCCAGGCTGTCCCTGGGTTCCAGGCTGTCCCCTGGGTGCCAGGCTGTCCCCGGGGTGCCAGGCTGTCCCCGGGGTGCCCGGGTGTCCCTGGGTTCCAGGCTGTCCCTGGGTTCCAGGCTGTCCCCTGGTGTGCCAGGCTGTCCCCGGGGTGCCCGGGTGTCCCCGGGGTGCCCGGGCTCACCGCTCCGTCCCTCTGTCCCCCTCCTGCAGGTGACGGGCCGCCGGCTCTGGAAGAACGTCTACGACGAGCTCGGGGGCAGCCCCGGCAGCACCAGCGCGGCCACCTGCACCCGGCGCCACTACGAGAGGTGGGACCGGGCCGGGACCGGGGCCGGGGGCGTTGTCCCGCCGCGTGCCTCAGTTTCCCCCGGCGCGGCGCTGACCGCGCTCCCCGCTCGCTCCGCAGGCTCGTCCTTCCCTACGTGCGGCACCTGAAGGGCGAGGAGGACAAACCGCTGCCCCCCAGCAAACCCCGCAGGCAGTACAAGGTCTCCAAGGACGACAGGAGCAAGAGGGCCAGGAAGGAGAAGGGCCGCGAGCAGGTGCGGCCCCTCCGGACGGGATGGGAGCGGCCCCGGAGCCGGGGACGGGCAGGGCCGGGAGGGACGGGCCCGGCCGGGGGTGGAGGGCAGCCGGGACCCCGGCCCGGGACCGCAGCCGGGACCCCAGCCCGGACCCCAGCCCAGACCCCAGCCCAGACCCCAGCCCGGGACCCCAGCCCAGACCCCAGCCCGGGACCCCGGCCCAGACCCCAGCCCGGAACCCCGAACCGGACCCCAGCCCAGACCCCAGCCCGGGACCCCAGCCCGGACCCCGGCCGGGACCCCAGCCCGGACCCCGGCCGGGACCCCGGGCCAGACCCCAGCCCGGACCCCAGCCCGGACCCCAGCCCGGGACCCCGGCCGGGACCCCAGCCCAGACCCCAGCCC